CTTTTAGGCGACTGCTTGTTTGGCTGCTTGCATATCTCCATCTCTCTCACACTCATTCAGCTGAGTAACGGGTATTTGATAGTCGTTAGGAAAATAAATTTAAATGAAAATGTAGCAAATGGAAGCTTTTAACTATCTCTATATTTCACTATCTTTAAATAAGTCATATAGGTTTAATTATCTTTTTAATTAATAATTTAATTTTTAGTTTATCAAAAGCTTAAATTGTATTAGATTTCGAACCAAATGACTATTTTTCTAGCCAATGTGCAGTGGATAAAGCAATCCGATCGCATTTCGAGCTTTGAACGCGCTATTTGATGCGGTCGGGTGGTTTTGCAATATTTATGCCATTTTTTCCAAGCAAGAATTGTTTAAGTCAACATACTCGGTTTTAAATTGTTATTAAAGATTAACGGCCTGGCGCAGCTGTTGAATTAAATTACTGTCAAATTACTGAAAACAGAAAACTAATTGGTTAAAAATAACAAAATAACAAGAAAGGATGAACACGAAAGTTGGGGCTAATTAATTTCCTAAGTCTTACGACCTAGAATGTTGTGATATTTGTAGGAATTGTTTTTAGAATAAATATACAATATTATTGTTTTATTTATCATATATTGTTGGCCACACCTTCGCTTGAATGGTCGTTCTGAATGCTTTGCATTCGCATCCGCAAAAATGCCGTGAAATCAATTTTGCAGCAAATTTTCAAATGTGCAACAATCGAGCGGCGTGAATGCCGCCGCCCACTTAGCACTTGTCCCTCTGCCACCTTCTGGTGAAAAGCCACCTGGAAAACCCCCATTCACCCCCTTTACTCACCCCCAATACACCTGGCATGTGGTCATGGTCGCTTTTTAAAGGACCAAAAACCCGCACCGCACACGAAAACCCGAAAATGTAATTGAAAAATGATTTTGTTGCACATGTCCCACATAGGCCGAAAACCGGGAACTGTGAACTGGGGATCTGGGATCTGGAAACCGGACATGGACATGGACATTCGCATGGACAGAGGGATCCAAAAACCAGGACGGGGCACTCGAATTGGGATTGCATTTTCTGCGCTTGGCTTTTGTCCTGTGGCGGCGCTTTTCGCCAATTTCTGTGGCCAGGCGAAAAAGTTTAATTAATTCGTCGAGCGGCCAGCAAACTTGCAACTTGGCAATGTTGCAGCGAAGCCATCGAGGTAGATGGATAAATGGATAGATGGATGGGGTCTCCTTGAGCCGCCCTAATTAGCATATAAATGACATTGTCGCTTTATGCGCAGCTTTCACCGCTCTCACCGCCTTTACCGCTTTCCTAGATCCTTTCAAATATGTTGTGTTTGCTTATTGATTTAGCATTAATTGTTAATTGTTAATAACCGGCGGCGACCGCAGCGGGAACCGCACAGTTTAACGCACCTGACAAACCGCAACGCACTCGACACCATCAACAAGGACATTTGCCGGCGGCAGGGAGACAGGAAACAGTGGAGATGGCAAGGGGATTCAGGATTCAGAATACGGAATACAGGACACAGGATACAGCTGCCGCCGAACGAAAGGCCTCCAGAACATGAATTACTAAAATCACTCAATTTACTAGCTTGTTCATCGAATGCGGTGCCAAATATCTACACCTTAACAACAATTCTTTCAAGATTTTCTGAAATAAAAATGATATTTAGAATTTATTTTTATGAAATGCATGTTAAAAGTGGTGATAGAAAAAGTTCCCTTTATAATCTTAATTTAAATTTTTAAAAAAATAGATGTACCATATAGGATATTGATATTTTGTATGCTATATAATATAAAGTTTATATTTTTATTACAGAAAAATTGATGAAAATTTGATACTAAATAGTTTAGAATTTATTTAACAATAGTTAGGTTTATATGATGTTTTTTTCGGTGTAAGTGTTTATTAATAGCTGTCGAACTGTAAAAAAAATTTTAAAGTAGGACATTTCATTAAAAAGTTAAGAGAAAATAATGAAACGGTCGCTAGATGGCGCCACCTCCTTTGCACTTCCTTAGGCTGAGTAAATGGTATCTGTTAGTCGTAGCAGGTTAGATAGGAAGACACGTTATGTAACATACGAATTTCAAAAACCATTCTAAAAGCCCTAAGGAATATATAAACTTTTTCTTGCGGTGTAGAGTACTATATTTTGACCGCAATTGTGGGCGCCAGACGGCCACCTGGCGACTTCTCTCGATTATTGGCCATAAGGTTGCCTCTGAGGTCTCCGACGGCTTTTGGGCCCCGTCTGTTTGGGATCGCTTTCGTTCGCTGCCTAAACACGAAACTCAATTAACTTGTTAATTTATTTGAAATTTTCTTTGTTCGTCCTTCGCCATTGAAAAGCACTCTGCTGGGGGTTACCAAGGTGATGCTTTCGGATGGAATTGGAGTTTCTTGGGCTGCTCAGCCCCCCTGTTAATTTGGTAATCTAATTCGCCAAAAGGCTTGCAGTATATCAAATTGTAGTGATGTATTTAAGAAATGTATGTAATCTGTTTTGAATCTGTTGATGATTCTTGCATGGCTTAGGTCGAAGATGAAGTTTTGGGCTATAAGCCTTAATTGTAATGAGTTAGAGATGACAAGAAGCGGTCTTGAAGTATCATATTTTTAAAAAAATTATTACTAAATAATTTAACAATTTATTATGGAAAAAAATTATCTTAAAAACAATATTATTCTGGGTTTTCCTATTTCCCATTGCAGGCACTCAATCACTTCAGTTTTGGCATCTCAAACGCAGTTTCATTAGCTACTCCGCCAAAATCTCTTCGAGGAGTTTCCATTGAAACGCAAAAGGAGCTGGTGGCTGAGTAATTTCCATGTGGATTGGGGATTGTGGTTAGCTAAAAATCGTTTACCGTTGCTCACTTCAAACTTTGATGCCGAAGGGTGGAGGTTGGGTGGTGTTGGCAAAGTGCGGGCAAAGTTTTTGCTTGGTATAATTAAAACTAGGCAGGAACAGCGTTGAAGACAAACGGAATTGTTTACATGTGTCTTTGTTACAGTTACAGTTATCCATTGGTGGCTGTGGATTGAGTGGGTGGCTGTTTCCAGTGGGTGGAGGGGGGGTTGGAGCACTCGAGACTCAAAAGAGGTGTGAGCAGCAAAGGAATATGTTATGTTTCAGCCTACATTTCAGCTGTTCGGTTTCAGCTGGAGGCTTGTTTTCTCTGCCAGTCTATCTATTTCGGTGAGTGCTGTCATTTTCCGGACAGTGTTTGAACCTAAATACGAGGGATATTGTTTTTAAATTTTTTTAAAATTAGTGCAAAAAAAATTAAACAACTTGAGATACTACTAAACTTTTTTAGTTTTCTTGTAGTATTTTTTCTCAAATACAAAAAGCCCGTAAAAGTAGGCTAGAAAAATTCAGTGTTTGAAAAATTAAGTATACGTACCTAGGCATTATTACGTATACGTATAAAATATTTATTCCAGCCTTTTTTTGAGTGTCTGGCAGCACTGATCCCTCTTTTTATCCTTTTCCTTCTCCTTATCGCAGTTGCATATGCAAGACTTCCTGCTCACTCCTTCGGCGTCATCGTCATCGTTATCGTCATCGGCTTCGCTGAGTCACTTCGTTCACGCCCATTTTATTTAGCATTTGTTGTTTTTTCGGTTTCCTGCGGTTTTTAATTAAAATTAACTTTGTTTATTTTGCGCTTTTACCCACGCCACCTCCACCTCCGCCTTTCTCTCCCTCGCACACTCTCTCTTTTTGGCCGCCTCAGCTCAGACAAAGTGATGTTGACTTTGCCCGCGTCTTTCTTTTGCTCTCCGTCTATCTCTGTCTCTGCCTCTCTTTGCTGTTGTTGTGTTATTGTTGATGCTGTAGCTGCATGTAATTGCCGCCATTTGCGTTGTCGTCGCCTCTTCTTCCACTTCCCGTTTCGCCTCCTCTCCCAATATCCCTTTTTCTCCTGCCATGAGTGCAGCCAATTTAGCTATTTTATAGCCAGTTATTCTTATTGTAGGCCTTTTATAGGTCTTTATAAAGTGGATAGCCAAGTAGGAGAATTTCTTGATTACACTATCCTAATTTAATTTTCCTTTTAGAAAACAGAGATCTCAATCGCATAGAATGAAATAATTTTTTTCCTTATATTTAATGCATTTATTTTTGGCCATTTAGCTGCATTTCTCAAGCTACAGTTGGCAGCACTGCACTCTGCTCTCTCCCCTCTCTCAACTTGTTGTTGTTAGTTTTACCTGTTGGCTGACAGACAAAAGCTTAACCAGCGGAAGAGAAGAGTTTTGCAATCATCGTCATCATCTCTCAGCGAGAGCGAACGGTACATTCCCCCCTCCCCCTCGTACACGGCTTGTTTAACTTTTGTAAGTTTGTTAAAGTTTTTGTTATGCCTGCTGGTATTTGGTATTTACCCCGCTGGCCACCCCGCTGTCATTTTGATTAGTGCATTTTATTTGCATTCTGATGCAATTCACTTATTTGCAAAACTGATAAAGCTTCCAAGGGGGAAAACGGTGGAGGGGAAAGCATGAGAAATGATACGGGCGTGATTTGCATATGTAGGGGTGTAATGTATTAAGGAACTATATGTATGTGTAGGTTAATGGATAGTATTAATCTGAAGTACAGTTGGTCCTCAACAGAGTAGTTAACATACTGTTAATATAATTGGGCGCCATTTATTTAATGGCCAGTCCATGATGGTGGGTTATTCCATTTTGTTGTGGATTATTGCTATTTTCTTAAGTTTCAATACATGAAAGTAAGTTATCGATTGTTATTGAAGATCTTATTTTATTTATTTGGTAATAATTTATGGAAATGATCCTAGAAATAGGCTTTTTAGCTTTCTTGTTAGAGGCGATCCTTGCTAATAATTGCTCATCGTTGGGCGCCACTTACTTAAGAGTCAATTTATTAAAGTAAGTTTTTAGCCTTATTGTAGATCTTATTTTATTTATTTGGTAGTAATTAATAGTTCTTAGAAAAGACACAAGTTTAGATCCTAGGCCTGGCTCTCGTGGTAGAAGCGATCCATGCTGATGATCTCGTCGTTGGGCGCCATTAAATTGAGAGTCGGGGCCGTGGGCATTGTGGGCACCTCCACTCGACGGCTGCTCACCGTGCCAACCGAGTGGCGATCGGCCATTGGATCGATGGGGTTCCCATCGACTTTCGCCACCGAAGGATCTCTGACCACCGTGGACAGGGGCTGCTCCTCCAGGGGCTGGCGCGACTGCCGCTGCTCCGCGTACAGCTGCTCGAGGAGATCCCGGAAGAGCGAGGGATTCACGTTGATGCTGACGCACATGAGCACAAACCAGTCGCCGTAGCCCCCGTTGGCCAGCACCTGGCGCACATGCGCCTTGGGCATTCCGCGCAGGTGGGTGCGCAGCAGCTGCAGCCGCAGCTCGGAGCAGCAGAAGAGCAGCAGGCGATAGCAGATATTGATGGCCGCCAGCATGGCGATGAACAGGAACCACACGTACAGCACGGCGAAGATCTTCTCGTTCAAGATGTTCAGTGGCAGGACGCACAGGATGTCGAGGACATTCGGTGTGCCGCTCGGGCCGTAAACGAACATCTCGCACTTGGCGACCTTGGGGAAGACACGCGACGTCATCAGGTTCCAGAGATTCCAATCGTACACGGGTATGGCGGCCAGGGCGTGAATGTACTTGTGCCAGAACCCATTGAACACCACGTCCATTAGCCAGAAGTTCAGAATCTAAACGGTTCACTTGTTAGTATTGAATGTAAATACGCATTTCGTTTTAACATGAAATACTTATTTCGAGCATATCGAATTTACGGGGACGCATATAAAGCTAAAATTGATATTACATAATGTAAAATCGATCTACGTTTCATATCGAAACACTCATTTCAAGCTTATCGAATTTACGGATCAAGTTAAAATTGATATTAGATAATGTAAAATCGATCTACGTTTCATATAGATTTTTTTTTTTTAGGTGTAGTGGATGAAAAGTCAAAAAAAGAAACTGAACTCACGCTGATGAGGAGATTGAGCAGCTCGCAGAAGGCGTACTTCAGGGAGTAGCAGCAGTGGATGGGGGCGAACTGGGCGCGAAAGTACTTGGTGAGCATCTGGAGGCGGGTGCGGTAGGTGGACTCCAGGATGAGGGCGTCGCCGACCTCGCAGCAGAGCTGCTCCATGCGCTGGCCCTCCCACACCTTCCACAGGAAGGAGGGGAAGTAAAAAAGCAGCGACTGGAAGAGCAGGATCATAAAGACCCATTGGTAGTAGCGAAGATACATCCTCTTGGTGACGCCCCTCGTTTCGGGCCCAACGCCCTCGGCAATCGAGACGATCCGGGCGTACTGCTCATTGTGGGCCACCAAAGCGCGCAGGCTGCTCAGATTGAAGGACTCGGCGGCGGAGGAGGACGAGTAGAAGGCAAAGTCCCAGCTGCTGGAGCTCTCACCCTCGCCCTCGGCGGGCAGGATGTAGGTGCCCATGGTCCAGCAGTAGGACTGCACGTACTCCGTGTGCTTCTCGGAGCTGATGCACAGTATCGGCTCCCCGAAATACTGCTTCGCCGACAGCAGAAAGGTGCAGGTCAGCAGGATCACGATGGTGCACTTCGAGTGTAGCGTGAAAATCGGATCGTATATGCGCACTGTCTTCAGGCGCAAGTAACTGGAGAGGGGCTTCACGGCTGCATACATCGCTCTATTTCAGAATATTCAATTCAATTCGATTTCTATTGGATTCTATTCGGGCTTTCAGGCGCTATTTTTTTATATTTTATTTTCAGCTGTCTGGATTTTTGTATGACAGTAGTGGTCTAATGTCAATCCTATTTAGGATTCAGGGTTGCCAGGTGTTCGACTTGCTGGTACCAAAATACATTTTTACCCCAAATATTTTTGCCTTTTCTACAATATTGAAAATATTTTAATTATTGAATACGAAAATGTAATAGTCATCAAAATATGTAACTAATTTTTATTATAGCTGAAGTAACCTACATGGTAAATATGAGTCGGCTAGAGTTGCCGAGATTCTTTTTTAATTCAAATAAAAAAAAATAAAAAAAATATAAAATGTATTTTTTGCTTCGCATTCGCCTATTTAAAATTGATAAATAAATCAGTGCCTCTTTGCTTAAGGACCTCAGTAGCCACCAAGTAATTGTTAGCCACTTTTGGCAGTCATTTTTAAAAGCATTCATTGAACATCCCATCAGATGAGCACAATTTCGCTGATTATGAACGATTATGAACAACATTTTCAATTCCATCAGTCGGGAGTTCCGAGCACCGACTACGGCCTTTTCAAAACTCGTATGTATGAGGATCACGAGCTATGGGAACGCCAACGAATGGCAATAATAATAAAATGATTAATCGATGCTACATGACTGCATATACAAATAATTCCCAGCGGTGTGTCGTCATCAGCGTCATTACCCACATCGTCGTCGTCATCATCATCATTATCATCATCAACATAATCAGCAGTCGAGTTGGTGGGGTGGAAAGTTTGGGGGTTTCACCAGCAAATACATCGTCATCAGCATTATCATCATCATCATTTGCTCTTTGGTTGCCGGTGCAAATGTTTATTGTGGGAATTCGTTGGCTGCGACGTGTCGAGTGGCGAGTGGCGACTCTAGCATCGGCTGCTCCTCCTGTCCAAGTGCCCAGTTCCCAGTTTCCAGACCCCATCATCCATCCATCCCATGCCATCCTATTCGCGCCGCAACTCTCGCACAAAAATTAAATTTATGAATTGTTTCGTTTGTGCGTGACCAGAGATTTACAATAATCAGAAAGCGGGAATCAGGAATCAGAAACCAGGAATCAGGAATCAGGGACCAGGCGAACACGCTCAGGAGACTAATTAGTCCTGGTCGTAACGGGTATACGGTGCCAAATTGTAATTATAATTTCTCGTGTCTGCCGTTTGCCCAGTCCCCTGGATCCCGCCTCATTGATTGTTTGGCCATAAAACGAGAATGACAATGAAATATGATTCCAAGTTCGAGCCGGATGGCAGCGGATTGAAATCGAAATGAGGAAGTCACAGAGCTGGCGAAAATTCGCCAGACCAATTATTTAATTATTATAATAATTACACTAGAGTAGGTACCTAAAGGAATATTTGTAATTATTTATTTGTTGGCATAGGCATTAATTAATTAATTGGACAGGGTTAACAATTTAACAAACGATTATGGTAAGATTATACAAGAAACATTCCTAATTTACACAAAATAATTTTTGTTTTAATTCTTTTTAGTGTTAACATATTTTCTTTATAATTATAATAATTATTTTATTTTCCTTATATTTTGTTGACTTTCTTTAGACACTCTTTGTTGTGAGTTAAAATAAATTTGGTTATTTGTGTACTTACCTTAAGTTTCTATGCGTTACTTTTGATATATTTCGAAGAATTCACGATATAATTTAGGGAAGCAAGTAAGATTGTTATTTAAAATTAAAATACTTACTTCTTAACTTTTACTTTAATCTATAAGTAAAAGTATTAAGATTCCCGAAAACTTGACTAACAATCTTGTCATTTTAAGGCAACCACAATTCAGAACTGTATTAATTAACTCTTTATCGCTTTGATCCCCAAATGGATAAGGAATTCACAATTCTTTTGTATTGTCACTGGGTCATTGCGGAAAACAATGGGGCGTTAACCGACACCAATCAATCGCAGCCAGGTGCTGATCCCGATATAGTCACCCTATTCAACTCAAACAACTCCATCCAGGCGCGCCCATTTGGGAGCCCATAAAAGTTCGCTGACAGCTTTTTAAATATTTATTTAAATAAAATTCATTATTTAAAGCGATTTTTCATTGACCACAAAAACCGAAAAACGTTTGCTGTACTGCCGAGAGGGGTTATATAGGGAGTTTCGAGGGGGTTCGGGGTTCGGGAGTTCGGTTGGCAGGTTGGATGGCCAGAAAGGATGGATGGCAGAAAGGATCTGTGAACGGCCCATCGTTTTTCAGTGCGAACATTGCGTTGGGCAATGGCTACGCATTTCGTGCTTAAATAAATAAATTTAACAATTATGCGTGGTTGCGGTTGTTTTGGCTTTGATGGAGCCCGGGCATAATCCTATTACCGGGCGATTCGCCAGTTGCCACTTTTCCATTCGACAGTGGCTCCCGATGACGACTCCCATTCGCATTTCCATCCTTTCGCTGGATGTAACTCCTGAATGCGGTGGTCGATGGTCGTCGGTCGCCGGTCGCCGGTCGATGATGGTGGTTTACTTTTCTGCATAAATATGGCAAAGCCAAAGCAGCTGGATGGGCCTCGCCTGAGGGGTAAGCTTAAACGGGCAACTGGCCCACTGCCGCCATTATTTGATGCCCAATTTAGTTAAACTTTGTTAAAGTTGGCTACGATTTTGCGAAAATTAACGAGGCTTGTATTCATTTCCATAATTGCCGTTGTTATGCGAGAGCGATAAGTGTGATGGGTGTGTTTTGATTTAGTCCAACATCGCTGGCCATAACATATTTATAATATAGAAAAGCTTTTAATTATCCGCCCGTATTCGTTTTGATGGCTGTTTATTATCTGAAGCAATTTTCATTATTCGATTTGTTTGATTATATCGCCTACCTTTTTTATTTACTTTAAAATTTATGAGTTTCAATTAGATTTTTAAATCGATATGTCTAATAAAAGCATCAAGTACTATTAAGTTTGTTGTCTTTACAAAAGCATTTAAATGCATTTTTCCAGAATGCGGCTTTTAGCATTAAACCATTTAATTAGAGGTTTTGATTTAATGATAGACGACAGGGATAAACAAATGAATATTTGTAATTTTGTAATGGAAGAACTAACATAACATGTCACAACATTTTAGCCTGAAAGGCAGCATTTAATTTGACAATGGTGAAACTCATTATTAAATCGGTTTAGCAAGCTTAACACGTGTAAATAGATTATCCCCGACTGTAAAATACCCGTTTAAATTTGAACACGATTTTAATCATTTTTATCAAAAGCCGGTTTTTTCAAATAAATCATTTTGTTATTGAATGTTTGAAAACCTGTAAATTTCCTGTGCTGAAAAATTCGCGTTTTTATTTAACCTAATTTAATCAAGGTTTGTTAAGTAAATAAAATAAATTCAGCAATGTTTTACCTAACCCTTTTTACATACAAAATTTAATTTAGCTATCAACGTTTAAAAACCTGTGAGTTTATAGTGCTGAAGAATTCGCGTTCTCATTTATTTGTATGTGTTCAACCCTTTTTCACTTAACCTAATTCAATGAAGCAAAGGTCATTAATTAAAGTCATTGAGCCAAGTTTTGTATAGCTAACCTGTTAATTTCTTGTGCTAAAGAATTCGCGTTTTCATTAATCATTTAACTTTTTTCAATATTTATCTTCTTTTGCCTTTGGGAATTGTCCTTGTAGTTTTTTCGTTCCTAACTGTTGAAGTGAGATTCTTCCGCCCACTTGCTCCTCAAAAGCCCAATTGCTTTAAGTTTCAAGCATTCTCCTGGCCAATAGGCCATGATGGCTGATGCAAGGGCCCGTAAGCAGTTCTAAAGAGAGACATGCGGTTGACTGTCCCGTCCTGTCCTGTCCGCCTCCTGAATATCCACCGCCGGGGCTCCTTGTCAAATGCACTTGAAATGCGCGACCACTTACCGACCGTCGTCAGTGGGAAAAGGATTTCCCCGGCGCATCGTCCTGCCCCCGTAAATGCTCCAGACAGTCTGCAGTCAGTTTCGGGGGTCCCTGCCACTTGACTCGAAATTTATGCGTTTAATAATGCATTGTACAGTCGGACATCGGACATTGGACATTGGACTTCCAAGATGGGTCCCGCGTTGACATTGCTTACCTCAAAGGCCACATCATCACCACCATCGCCACCATCATCATCATCGTCTTTGGGGGGCCCTTGCCGTTATTATGTGCCAACATGGTCGTCAATATGATGTCGTTGGCCAAGACAAAGGCTAAGGCCAAGTTAAATTAAAGGCGACGATATCAGCATATGTTAGGAGTGTGTGCGCACATACATATGTGTCCTGACATGTTCCTGCCGTGCATTGTTCGATTAATGACTTAACGACGTGAGTTGAATAACTTTGATTTAGTGTCATCTCATTTTGCGTGCCGCACGGAGCACACAGAGCAAATGCGAACTGTGGAGCTGTGGAACTCTGGAGATCTTCCCTCCAGACTCCCAGCTAATTATATTTATTTACTGGGCGTGCCCACAAGTCAGATAAGGAGTGGTGGACGTGGACAAGGGAGACGACACACCAGCAAGTGGAAGTGGGGCTGCCTCCGCCTTGAGCCTTTAATTATTATCAGAATCCCCGTAGCAATCAAAACGGAGGCGCATGATGAACATATTTGATATGATATTGCCAGCACAGAAGATGAAGATGAAGCTCAGCTCAAGAATCCCATTCGAATACAATTGCTAAATCACCAAAAACAATGGGGAAAGGGAAAAATAAAGATCTAGAGGGCGAGGCGAGTCGTTTTAAGTGACCAGAGGTTAAGTTACAGTTAATTTCATATATTGTGGTTAAAAGTGTTATAAGCGGGTACTTCTCTTCATTTATTGTCAGCTACATATTTTATAAAAATTTGCCAACAGTTATATTTTTATTTTATAAGATTATAAGGTACCCAGTCGTTGATCAGAGGTTAAGTAT